GAAAAGTTTGGACGGGACATACACAAAGATGTTGCGTATGGTGCTGGGTATCTCATGGAAGGACAAGGTCAGCAATATAACTTTGTATGGTAGCCTCCCAAGGCTGTCAAACAAGTTACGAAGCAGGAGATTAAAAATGGCGGGACACTGCATCCGACATCCTGAGCTACTTGCCAGTGATTTAGTCTTATGGGAACCTACGCACGGTAGAGCACAGCAAGGCCGACCAAGACAAAGCTACTTGTCTATGTTACTGAAGGAAGTTGGGACAAACTCTAAAGAGGAACTGCGAACCCTGATGCGGGACAGGGATATATGGAGGGGGTTTTCTGGCGTAGATCGGACTTAGCTCCGACATAGTAGTAGTAGTAGTAGTAGTAGTGGAACCAGTGCTGTAAGTTTGCAAGGTATGTGGACTAAGTGGGTCGAGAGTACTCAACTTGAGAGTGGGTGTTGAGAATCCTCAACTAAACTAAAGATAATGACATCCAGAAGATGAGGCAGTAGAGTGAGTGGTAGAGGCTGAAGGAGAAGAAATGTCACAAGGAGAAGGGTAGGGAGAGCACTATAATAATAATCTTTATGATAGTTCACCAATGGAAATTTGTGCTAGAGAGCGGAAGGCAGTGATGCTGTTATCACTATCATCTCTTAAGATAGACCAGCATGGTTGGTCATTAGAGGAGTGCTCCTGCAGGGTTTCCCTGTAAGAGCAGCTGCACAGTGGACAGTAGAAGATTCTATGGTAATTGGTGTCCAATACATTACAATTTGGACACTGAGGATATAACCTTGGTATCTGTGCTTCTGCTTGAGTAGCGAGGAAATAATTGTTTGCTCCTTTCATCAATGTACTGCGTCGAACTTACTGCGCCTGATTTACCGCAAACCCCAATTTACTGCTGTGTTTCTTTTCCCCAAATTCCACAGTAAATCAGGGTTTTACGGAAAGTGTGTCAAACAGTATTATATATACATTCAATTTAATCAAGTGATGCAATTGGCAGAGCACAATCAAATTTTTAGTGTTGCAATTGGCAGAGCAAAATTCATTGCTACCAATAATTTTTTCAAAAAATTTTTTAACAAAACACATGATCTACTCCATTATAGGGGCAGGGATGAGCTTGTATGAGACTTCTGATAGCTGAATCTCACGTTTGGTGTCCACCTTCTTTCCTTGGTACCCTCGTAGAGCAACAAGAGTTGTTCTCAACATTGCAAATCTTATCCTTGTTCTCACATGTCTTACTACATCACAGTACCTTTCCTTCCTTTTTCTTGCAATGAGGTCTGTTACTCTGTTGACGAACTGCTTACACTCTTTAGACATTCCTCCAGATGTGAAGAATACAGCCGGGGTGAAGGTAGCCTTCTCCACATTCAACACTCTCTCCAAGTACTTGTCCTTCTTCTCGTTCTCGTTCTCTTCGTATACTTCTTGAAGAGTTTTTGTCCTGTTTGATTATAAGCAATTGGGGTGTGAAACCCTTATGTCAAGAAAGGTCTTATCAAATGGAGTCCAAACTCCTCTAGCAGATACATCAAGCCGAACTTGGTCACCTGTTATAGTCTTGGGGTTGAGGCAGTCACCCTCATTTACCTTCTGTAGCTGGGGTTGAACTTTTACATCATGACATACCTCACGAAGCTCAATGTTATCCAGAAGCTGAACTGCCTCCATGAGGCGTTGGGACTACCACAAGCAATGCTATCGACTACACTAAAAGCTTATCTACTAAAACATATCAGGACGGATCAAGAAAACAACAATTACAAGAAACCAACAATTTTATTTAGTATCAATTAAAACAAACAAAAATAAATTTTACATATAACTATCACGACCTTTAGTCCGTTTCAAAACGGAGGCTTATAAATATTATTATATTATGATTGTAAAATAAAGGATAAAATTTTAAATTTGTTTCACTAAAAATTTGTTTCACAATAAAATTATGTACACAAATTTATGTTTGATTATTTGTTTGCAATAATTTTATTTCAACACTTGATCCCTGTTCAGACATCTCTTTGGGGCAATAGCATTTCCATTTCAGATATGTGCAAATAGTAGAGGCTCTTACGGGCAAAAAGACGTGTTTTCTGCTACGAGTTTAGAGACCTAACCGCTAATTGGACACAATATTATGATGTCTAAGGATCGATAATATGTAAAGAAGCAATAAGATCACATTATTTTCTATTTGGTGTGAAAATATGATCTAGAACATAATCTCGCTGAGTTATAGCTGTTTGAAATTTATGATGAACGCGCGGGTGCCAATTGATAACAACTAAATGCTTTTGCGCGTAGTGCGCGTCGAAAATTTGGCAAAAACGCTTGCGGAGTGACAATATTCAAACTTCGATAAAGTATATGAAGTGGGTGCTTCTCGGAAAGGAAAAATTTAGGCGAACACGATGAAACTATTTTTGGGTTGATTTAATACAACTGCAAAAAATTATTCAAACTTCAAGCAAAAAAGTCAAAATTTTTACCACTTTTTTGGATTTTTACCCCAGAAAAAATAGATAAGAGGGATTTGTTTTATTTTTATACCATCTTGTGCGGCTGTCTTTCAGCTATCTCCATGCAAATTTTGCCGACATGCCAACAAAATTAACTTGCTCAAAATATCAAAAAACATGGTTTTTTGGCCTATTTTTGGCCCAAAAATCGGTTTTTTGCGATTTTAACCCAGAAAAATCAGTCCAATCATCTTGAAACTACTTTTAATCGATTCTACGGTCAAAAATACGTCTAGTAAGGTGTATCTGGGGTCCCTAGCGTATTGAGCAGACAATGCCCGTAAGAGCCTCTACTAAAAAGGGCGCAGTATTGAGTATATAATAGTAACTTTGATGTTTATCGAACGTAGGATATTGTAATTGCAGTTTTATACTATTTTACCCAAACTTAAAATTTTTAACTTTTACTGTTATTATACATTAAATTAAATCAATTGATGCAATTGGCAGAGCGCAAAACACAGGTAATGCAGAAATTGTCCAGCGCACTGCTACCAATATTCAGTTAAATCAAAAAAGATCAACAATCAAATATATATACATCAAGCCATCATAGAGACAGGGATAAAGTTGTAATTTAACACAGTTTGTGTTTTCTTTAGTCTCTTTGTTGTTTGTAGCGCGATGCACTACTGGGCCCACAGGAGGGGTGCAAAGAAGTGAAACAAATTTTAGTGAAACAAATTTAAAATTTTATCCTTTATTTTACAATCATAATATATTGGTGGTTAAGGGGTTTTCCAAACTCCAGGGGCTCGTGAAGTGTCTTACACAACCTCTCCGAGCCCAAGATCCGTAGTGCGTGGTGAAGAGCCACACCCTTCTTGAGGTGCCACTGTTAAGCTTAGTAGCCTGTTCTGGGTGATTCCAGTTAAAACAGGTGAACGGTAACAGAACACTGCGGCTCTAGACCAGTACAGGTCGAAAAATATAACCGGGACATCTGTCTCGTTAGGACTGCATGCAGTTCATCGGGTGCGAAGGGCCAGCATCCCTTCCACCTCAAATAACAATGCTACTGAAACAACACACACATCAAATGGACGGAGTGCTACTTCCATGCCAATTCAAGGACGGATGGTTCCAGCATGACGGAGGCTGGGCAAAGCCTACGGGACCCCAGTCGCCTGATGAGAAGAGGGGGTACTCGTCATCCGACCAGATTTATTAGTCAACAGATCATCCATGTTGACCCTGCTTCCAACAAATCCAATCCAGTAAATTATTGCAAACAGTTTTTACGTTTTGGAACATGGAACGTTCTATCTCTTGTCAGCTCATCTACACAGCTCTACCAACTTAGTAAAAACATTGATCAGTACAGATTGGATCTTTTGGGGATCACCGAGACTCACATGCCTGGATCTGGCACCACTCTACTGGACAATGGCAGTCTACTCATCCATTCCGGTAGAGTCGACGGGATCAAGAGACAGGGAGTCGGTCTCAGTCTTTCAAAACGAATCAGAAACTCCCTGATATCGTTCACTCCCACATCGGAGCGGGTTTTAACTGCTAGGCTGCATAGTAAGCAAATCAACATCTCTGTTGTTGTGGCCTATGCTCCAACTGAGGGTGCAGAGGAGAGTGAGAAAGATAAGTTTTATAGGACACTCACAGATACATTTGATGGGCTACCTCGTCACGATATCAAGTTACTGCTCGGCGATTTTAATGCAAAAGTAACATCAGGCAGATATGGAAGTGAAGCGGTCATCGGTGGGGAATCACTCCATAGCTCATCAAATGACAACGGGACAAGACTTGTGGATTTCTGTGCGACGAACCAGCTTGTCATCGGGGGAACTCTCTTCGAGCACAAGAACATTCACAAGGGAACATGGCGGTCCCCCAACGGGCTCACCGTCAATCAGATAGATCATATCTGCATTGGAAAGCGGTTTCGTCAGTCACTTTTTGATGTTAGGGTATGTCGCGGGGCAGACATCGGCTCCGATCATTATCTGGTTCTAGGACTGCTGAAAATCAAACTTCAGTCAGTGACAAAGATCAACGCCAACAGGCCCAATGTGCCTGCCATTGAGCGCCTGAGGGATAGTAATACGGTTTTAGAGTACAATGTGGCTCTTCAAAAAACCGATTTGCAAGTCTGGATAGTGAGGTCGACCTCGAGGATATGTGGCGTAATCTCAGTCAGACCGTCACTGATGTCTCACTGGAGGTACTATGCAAAAGACCCCGGAAGGCAAAGGAGCAACACCTGTCACGGAAGACCAAGGATTTATTGACTCAGCGGGCACAGTTTAAGCGCAAAGACCCAAACTCGGACACTAACAGGTCAGAGTATTCTAAACTTAATAAGTTAGTCAAGAAAAGCAGCAAGCTAGACGACAATAACTGGGCAGTAGCTCAGTTAGAGTAGCTACTGATCTTGAGGAAGCAGCGAGCAAAGGTCAGCAGCGTGAGGGATGGGCAAAGATCAAGAAGATCTCTGGTAAGAACAAGAAGCCTCAAGCATCTTGTGTCCGGGACAAGGACGGTAGGAAGATCACGGATCCCCAACAGCAGAGGGATAGGTGGAAGGAGCACTTTACTGAACTTCTGAACCCCCCATCATCAAGTGTCAACCTTGCCGACCTTGATACAGTACCACCCCAACCCCACTTTAACTCTCTCTCTTGTTCGGATGGACCACCCACCAGAGACGAGATTAGTTATTCCCTGACAAAGCTTAAGAACAACAAAAGCCCAGGAGTGGACGGGATAACTAACGAGCAACTGAAGTATGGTGCGAGTGCTCTAGTTGATCAACTAGAGTGTCTATTCAAGAAAGTGTGGGAAGAAGAGACTGTTCCTGAAGATTGGTTAAAGGGTGTGATCATTGTTATTGGGAAGAAAGGAGACACTTCAGTCTGCGGGAACAACAGAGGGATCACATTAAGGTCTACAGCATCCAAGCTTTTTCAGATGATTCTTCTTAAGCGGTTACATGCTGGTATGGAGTGTCTCCTCAGGGAGAATCAGTGCGGATTTAGACAGAACCGCTCATGTATTGATCAGATTTATTCTCTCCGAACTATTATTCATAACTGTCTTGAGTTTAACATTCCTCTTTACATTAATTTTGTGGATTTCAAGGCAGCGTTCGATTCTATCAGAAGGGACTTTATTTGGTGCAGTATGAGACACTATGGGCTGCCTGAAAAATATGTCAGAATATTTCAGTCATTTTTTGGGGGTACCATGAGTGCCGTGAGGGTTAATGGGGAGCTGACAGACTGGTTTGATGTTAACTCAGGCACAGGTCAGGGTGACATTCAAGCACCTCCTGTCTTTAATTTCTGCCTAAACTTTTCTGCATTTCTGGCTGAGACCAACAAGCCCCTATCAAGATTCTAAAAAAAGTGCGATGAGATTGGATTTTGACACTAGAAGTGCGATTTTCACGAAATGTACTCCCCACCCCCCCCCCCCCCCCCCCCTCCAGCCTGCAAGATTTCTTGCCCCACAAATTATTTTCTATTTAAAAAGATTTCGCGAGTCCCTTTGTAAGCGAAAAGTATGTCACTGTTATTGGATCCATAAATAACGAAAAATTTACGTGCGTATTTTCATGAATTATATTATGTTACATATTGTAATCATGGTAAGCCTCACGTAGCACGATGGTTGATGGCGCGCTCGTCAAGCAGTTGACTCGGGTTCGAGTCTCGTCAGCGGTCATTCTTTTGGCAATTATTAATTATTTTACTAAAATTATCATCAGAGCACCTTGTAATATACGTTATCCGATAGATTATACTGTTCGTACTTCATCTAAAGAACTAAGAGACTGAGAAGACCGGCATTTAAGGATTTGTCCGGGAAAGGCCTCGTTCACACTGGAACATGTCAAATTATTGTAAACGGAGTTATCTGGTAATGTTTGTTTTGTTTATGGCTAGAATTTAGAATGGAATCAATGTGATGAGGATCCAGAGTTAATTACCTGCTAGGATTAATAAGTCAGTTCTCCAGTTGAAGAGACCCTTTCTCAAACTTTTAATGAAGAAATATTCACTATGCCTATGGCAGTATCAAGTATATTCTGAGAAAGAATATAGCCAGGAATAGTACCTCCTTTAATGGTAACCATGGTAACTATAGTAACCACTGTGAATCTTGATCTTATAACAACTAGTATCCTTTAAGACTTAGACAGTACAGTGAATAAACACGCTGAAAAGCGATGAAAATGCAAGCGCGCGACCGAATATGTAGTGCTGAAAGAGGGTGCCGAAATCTCGCGGAGAATCTCACGATATTGTGAGCCTAGCTATGAGATTTAAACGAAACTCGCAAAAATCTGGCAAAAATCTCGCGCGCGTTACGTCGAAGTTTTCACGCTATAAACAAGTGATAAAATACACGTTAAGAGTATAAAATACATGTTAAGTTCCTAATTCCCTCAACTTTTAAGTTAAACTTTTTCTGTTTCCTCATTTATTTACAAATTTTGTGCGATGAGTCCGGCTCGCAATCTCGCATAAATCTTGAGCTGGGCCAACAAGATCATCAGTCAAGGCGCAGTGCTGCAGAAAGAGATGAAGACGGTCGAGGAAAAGGTCATTCTGGACACCGATTATGCTGATGACATGGCTATTATGGACAACTCAGGGGAAGGCCTACAGGAATCAACTGATCTATTAGTTCATTACAGCTCCTACGCTGGGCTCAGAATAAATGCAAAGAAGACCCAATGCATGGCTGTAAGCAAGTGCGCCTCCCAGCGACCTTTCATCAAGGATGATTGTATTGAGCCGTCGGTTGAGGGTGAACCCGTCGAGCAGGTTAGCAACTTTGTCTACCTGGGTGCAACTATTAGTGGGGATGGGACAATCAACAGAGACCTGGATGTCCGTATCCAGAAGGCTAATGGCGCCTTTCATCAGCTCTGGAACATTTGGAATAGCAGAACTATAAAGACTCCAACCAAGATCAGGATCTATAGGGCTGCTGTCCTCACCATCTTGTTGTTGTGTATGGAGCTGAAGTCTGGAACACCACCAAAAAGCAGATGAAACGTTTCGAGGTTTTCCATCAAACCTCCTTGAGAAGGATCCTTAGGATTAAATGGTTCTTTCATGTAACCAACGACGAAGTTCTTAGGAGGGCTATCATCAAGTCAGTTGAGACTTTCATCAGTGCTGCCAAGCTACGTTGGTATGGACATGTAGTTAGAATGCCAGACTCTAGACTACCGAGGTTTCTGTTGAACTGGAAGCCAAACTATGGAAAGAGGTCAAGGGGCAGACCCCGTAAGAACTGGAAGTCCTGCGTACTCGAAGATGCTGCTAAGTTTACAGGTGTTGAAAACATCGACAACGACACAACAGAAGCTTTGGCTACCAATCGAGTACAGTGGAGACATATGTTACGCCGCCAACGCGATGTGTGTGATGCAGGCCACTCCAACGACTAGGAGGAGACCTTACCATGTAACATGTATGTAATATAATAATATTTATAAGCCTCCGTTTTGAAAGTTTTAAATTTTAATATATTCACATTTCTATTTAAAATTCAATTTAATGTATAAGTCAATAACTGGCCGCCAAAGCCGCGCATTCTTGAAAACAGGATTAAATTGTTTATGATTATACGACAAATAAAAATAAATTTAAAACTATCCGTGGTTTTTTAAAATAAATTACAAATTATAATCTTTCCTAAATCCAAAGCCAGCTTTGTAAAATTTACTATCAGATCATAATATATTGTCAATTCTCAGTATTTACAATGCAACATTTCATTAATCTACATACAAGCGTACTCCAGCCCCTGCACGCCAGCACGCATCCGTTCTTATGCGGCGCGGCTCAAGCCACTCACGTATTATATTATACTTTTTGCTTTCTTCAGAAACTGCTGCTCACTGCTGCTCACTGCTGCTCACTGATGCTCACTGCTGCTCACTGCTGCTCACTGCTACTAAATGCTGCTCACTGCTGCTATGGGCGCGCGCGCGACAGCAGCAGTGAGCAGCAGTTAGTAGCAGTGAGCAGCAGTGAGCAGCAGTGAGCAGCATGAGCAGTTAATAGCAGTGAGCAGCAGTGAGCAGCAGTGAGCAGCATGAGCAGTTAATAGCAGTGAGCAGCAGTGAGCAGCAGTGAGCAGCGGTTTCTTTGCACTTAGCCCCTCCTGTGGGCTGCGCCGCGCATCAAATAATTCTTCTCGCAATTTTTCGGTAGATCGGCGAAATGCACCACTGGGCCTCGCCGAGCTGCGAAGGATTGACATCGTGAATCAACTTTGTTGTTTGTTCATTGTTGCTACATGAAATTTGTATTTGATTGTGTTCTACCGATTGTATCAATTGCCATTTAATTATAAGTAGTTTGAATGCAAATGACATTTTCCTCACTTATTTATTATTTTTTAAACTGGAACCCTTCCAGGGCTTACATTAAAAACAAAAAGTGTTTTAAATGTTTATTTTTAGCGGCCCAATTTGACGAACGCGAATGCAATGTTACTTGTTTAAATTTTTTCAAAGTTGCGCACCGCTTTCGGCTTTCTTCTCGAGGCAATATAGTAAAGGCTCTTACGGGCAAAAAGACGTGTTTTCTGCTACGAGTTTAGAGACCTAACCGCTAATTGGACACAATATAATAGTATGATGTCTAAGGATCGATAATATGTTAAGAAGTATAAATTTGGCCTTATTAGTCACGTGCTATACCAATGCGCGTTTTAAACTTTGACAGTCTATTACTCTAAGGCAAATAGAGTAATTATATTCATATTTTGTCAGCAATAAGATCACATTATGTTCTATTTGGTGTGAAAATATGAGCTAGAACGGACATAATCTCGCTGAGTTATAGCTGTTTGAAATTTATGATGAACGTGCGGGTGCCAATTGATAACAACTAAATGCTTTTGCGCGTAGTGCGCGTCGAAAATTTGACAAAAACGCTTGCGGAGTGACAATATACAAACTTCGATAAAGTATATGAAGTGGGTACTTCTCTAATATTTACGAAATAGTGCGTGCTGCATGCTAGTCAATTAACAATGAACGACAGCCCAGTGTTTTCGTGAACTAGAAATAAATTGACCTTCCGCTCAACTATCATCAATCGTTTAATTTGTTGCAAGATGCATTACTGGAACAGCGAAATATTCCACACTGCACACTGGGCCACGCCGAGCTGCAAAAGATTGACATCTTCAATTAAGTTTACGAATAATACTCGTCTAAATATCTTCGAAGAACAAAGTAGCGGCGTAGCGCGCGCTGCTTTCTTCTCAAAATTTTAACCCGAGACAATGATCCGAAAAAGTTCGGCGAGATGCGAAGGATAAACATTGTGAATTAAGTGCAAGGGCTTTAAATAGAGCAACGATCGTTGCTTTGACAAAATCGTATATGCTCTGTTAATTTGCGGCCGGCAACGATTTGGAAGGGTCGACATGATCGTCAATCAAAACGGTTGTAGCGCTATGCCCTAGTGGGCCGCGCCGCGCATCCAATAATGCTTATACAGATCGGGAAATGCAAAGGATTGACATCGTGAATCAATCAAAACGGGTAATCTTTAAATATTAAAATTACTTTAAAAAGCACCACTTATAAAGTACTATAGTAAATCGAGCGTTACCATACAATTTTCTTTCATGTCTATTTTTGCTACAAGACAATACTGTACTAATATCTTTAATTCTGCAATAACTTACTGTTACTCTTACTTCCACCTTCGATCAGTGAAAAGATCCCACATGCATGTGAAAAAGGTGCATCAAGCTGGCTGACCGGACTTCCCTATGAGAAGTACGGCTTTGTCCTGAACAAGCGAGGGTTCAAAGACGCGATACCATTGAGATATGCTCTACCCATTGCCAACATAGCCAAGAAATGCATTTGTGGCAAAGATAACACCTACAACCACATTCTTATTTGCAAGAAAGGAGGCTTTGTCAACAGCAGACACAACCGACTGAGAGACACTGTTGCAAGCATTCTTGAAAAAATCTGTAATGAGGTTGTTATACCAACATTATTATATTCCCAAACGTTTGAACCTTTAAATTAACTAGGAAAGTCAATCCTCAACTTGACTTTTACTGTTTTAAACAGATATGATGATATTAACTTAATTTATTATTATTATTATTATTATTTTTTTTTTTACATACTCCTTCTTAGTGTGGTGACTTGGGGTCCATAAATATAACAATACAAGCTGATAAACCAAAAAGAACAACTGGGGTAGGTAGGTAGCCCTGGTGGGTGCGTAAACTTTACGGTCTGCTCTCTCCAAGATCAGCCTGCTTCTCCATTTTACCGTGAAGCCTAATTTCTAGTTTTTATAAAATATACAATGCGAGTGCAGGTTTACTAATCTTAATCTACTTAACAACTCAATAGCCCAAGTCACCATACCCGTAGTATATTCCATGGTAATAGAAGAGCTTTAAAGTTTTTCAAATTGTTGCTATAATTGATTTAAATAAAAATTTGTTGTTTTCTTGAAATTTGTTGCTTTCTTGTTGTAGAGCCCACACTCCAGCCATGCACTGGAGAAAGCCTTCACCCTGGTACCATCCTTGATGATGGGGCAAGGCTCGACATAGCAGCTAGAGGTTTGTGGTCACCAATGGAGATGGCATTTTTTTGATATCAGGGTTTTACACCCCGGAGCCAAATCCAACGCTAATCACAATACCCCAGCAAAGATGTACAGCAAGCATGAGAGAGAGAAAGAAAGGAAATATGGAGACCGCTGTGTACAAATTGAAAAAGGAACCTGCAATGGCCTTGTATTCTCGACCACCGGAGGTATGGGCCCACAGGCTACCATGTTCCTTAAACGAGTAGCAACACTTCTGGCAGCCAAGACCAGCCAGGACAAAAGCCTCATCATGGCAAATCTAAGACGTCGTTTGCGGTTTGAGCTACTTAAGACAGTATTGATTGCAGTGAGAGGACACAGAGGACGGTATTATGAGAAAGCAATACCTGTTGATGAACTGGA